TTTCCACTCAGATTCAGACTCTTCACAGCCACCACACTAAGCAGATTTTGCTTTTGAGATCTGAAGCAACAGTAGGGTGTTTCTAAGTTAGGGTTGCCAACTCTGAAACAAACACTTAAATTGAAAATGCAAACTGAAAACAAAAACTGGGAAAAATATGCTTTACATTGTTCTTGACTTAGAGAATTAACATTATTCTAAGAATACACTGAGTTACCTTGCTCTAATAAACGAGGCACATGCTTTTATCCCAACTTTCTTTAACATGTTCTGCTTCCAGGCCTTGGAGTCTGCACATTTCTCCTTGTCTGTCCCTTCCAGTTCTCCTGAAGTGCAGAGGAATTCTTTCACTACTTGGCTGCTGGGACAAGTCACTGCATTCTCCCCCTTTGTTTCTGCAGCGAGGCTGAACCAAGGGCCTTCCTTCTGGCCCTCTGATCTGTGAGGCTGCAGATGAATCTCTCTGCCAGTCGATGTTTTGAAACTGCTATTACTTACACAAAGCTCTTCAGACTGATTTAGATTTGCTTCTGGAATAACCAATGGAGACAAATTCTGTAGAAGGCTCATATAAACTTCAGCAAGTAACTTCCAGAACCAGGGATTGAAAGGATGTAAGCAGATCAGTTGCTGCAGACACATCATCTTTTTTTCTACATTTTCCAGACCCTGGTAAATGGAAAACTGCAGGTTGAGAACCGTCGTTAAGTGATCTGTGTTAGTGGCGCTGTTTCTCTAGAAACAAAAGATAACAGGTTAAAAACAGGAGTAGAACAGAATTATGCTTAGAGCCTAAGAAAATGTCTCCCTAAATAATGACATACAAATATCACAAGGTAATTTTTAAACTGTACAAAATGGTGCTTTTAATTTAAAATGATACAGTGGGATACAGATCTTGCACAATCAAGCTGACAGCATTCCCTCTAGGTGCCTTGTCCCAGTCTGAGAGGCAAGCAGGTCCTAAATGCTGTCATTTGTTTATGTCCCTTCAGAGTGTTCTACAGCTGCCTTTCTTTGCAGCATAAATACCTTTTATACAAAACAAAAATCATCAATAATATTCTAGCAGACTTCAGAGCCTCTGGAATTTTTCCTTTATGGGAAAAACTCAATTTGTGGTTAGATACTCTTCTTGGTGGCAGTTTGGCAGCAAGTATAAGGAAATAAAACGGAGTTTTGAACTGTCACTTGTATGGTGGAAAGATTTAAGCACTCATTTATTCCCTTTTTTATAATTCCTATTACATTGCATTAATTCTGCCTGGCAGAGCATGATATTTAGTCCCTTCCAGGACTACCAGTTTCCCTGCACAGGGAGCTCATTGTGGTACAGGGTGTTCCAGTTTCTAAAGAGTGATTATATCTGCAGTGACAGTTACCCTCTGTTTACCAAATACTCTGAGCACTGAACATCCTGAAGGATTATACACATGAAAATTATTTTTCCAAAAAATGGTCCGTATAAAAGAACTACTGGCAATGTTTTTATGTTCAAAGCCTAAAAGAAAGACTGCACTATTTACCATTTTTTCTGCAATATCCAGAGCCTCCTTGTGCCTTCCCAGGCGAGATAAACACCGAGCCTGGCCCTCCTGGACATCACGCCTCATTGCAATGTTGCTGGCAGGTAAGAGCAGCAGGCAGTCTGAGTATTCACACAGGGCTTTCTAGGAGTGTGACAGGAAGAAAAGCCAACAAAACAGGGAGAGATTTGCATTTAAAAGCAAGCCTGACAGCACATTTCCTTTAGGACTACAGTCACAAAGGGAATTCAGAACCTGAAGTCCACATTTGCATTTCTCCAGACTCAGCTACCACCTGTGTGAGCAAGAGACCAGGCCCAGTAGCAGACAGCCAAGCCTGGACGGTGATGAGCAGCCTCAATCCCAGCTCGTGCTTAGGCACAAACAGGATTCACCACACATCTGTCCACCTCTCTCCCACCACGCTTGATCCAGAAGGGATCATCTACTGACCTGGGTAATAAGGGACACACGACATCTTTCCCCCCAGCCCAGTGGTCTGTGAGCTCCTCCTAAATCTGTGGGACCTTCTTTCAAAACTATGACAATCTCCATGGGAAGGTTTGAACCTGCAAGTACCTCACCTCAAATAACCAGTAAGTCAGAGAATACCACAAGGAAGGCGAATCTCCATTGTTCCTGTAGGCTGGTTTTAATGTACTTGAAATAAATATTAATTGGGCTAAGGAAAAAGGCAAGAATGAGCAATACTTCTGCAGCTTAATGCTCAGGGCACTCACCAGGACTCCAATTAACATTTAAATACATTAAATTAAGTATTCAGTGAAGCTAAGTCTGGAATCTTGATTTCTCTCCCTTTGTGTAAGTGCTTAGAGAGAAGACTAAAGAGCAGCACTCATTCTCCCATCTCTCAAAATGAGTATTTAATTATTCCTTGCAAACTTTAATGGTTCTAACAGAAAGCGCTTCTAAATACCCTAAATACTTCCTAGCAAAACGGCTGAAATATTTTTCTTTCCTGATGCTGAGCTCACATTCATTCTTAAGCAAAAGAGGGAGCTCCCCCCTGCCCAGTGCATGCAGCAGCCACTGGTGAAAATGGATCACAGGGCTGAGGACAGCCCTGTTTGCCTTGTTATGTGACAAAGGATATAACCTGGTAAGGTTCAGGCATTATGAATCCCAAGCAGATTCTACAGTCATCTATATCCTAAAAACGGGCACAGCTCAGATCCCTGCTGTCCTTGACATCTCCTATCAAGTGGCCTATCCTGAAGTAAAAAACTGATGATGAGACAAGAGATCACTATCCCTATTTATGTATTTCCAGCCCCCTTTCTGAGATCAGTGCTTCCAAATTAGTAATTTTATGTGCAATCAAGCTCTGGTTCTTGTTCCAGCAGTGATTTAGGTTAGCAATAAAACTGAAAACATTTCTAACATGAAATAGAAGAGTTACTTCAATAGAAGTCACTGCAATAGAAGAGTTAGGAAGCAATGGTCTGTTCTGTTTAGCAGCTAGTCTGACCACAGCCTGAGGCAGCTCTGCCATCAGCACCCTTTTATGAATCCTTTTAGGGCATCTCAGCTGAGACTAGAAAATATCTGTCAGGTATACACAGGACTGCAATAGTGCTGAAATAACATTAGGATCAGTGCCAACCGAGGTACAAAAAGATCTACAAATCCAGTGGGCGAGGCCAAAGGAGTAGAGTCAGAAGTCAGCTGGAGGGCTTTGAAATCAGAGAGCCTGTAATGCAAACCATAGGCTGCAGGAAGAAGCAACACCTGAAACAAGGCCTGAAGATGCTGATTTCAACAAGGAAACAAGGTAACGAAAGACCAGATCCTGCAACTAGCACTGCAGAAGGCAGGAGAGCATCGCTGATGAGGAAAGCGGCTCAGGACGCACACACAGAGAGGAGCGCTCTGGGAGCACTGCGGACAGGGACAGACACGGGCAAAGGTACAGCCGGGGCGAGCGGAGCCGGCAGGGACCCGGCACAAGGCATGCACAAGGCTCCGCAGGAGCCTGAGGGCACTGCAGCTTTCCTCTGACAGCGCTGAGAAAGGTGAGCCGCAGCCAGCGATCTTACAGCCTGCGTGCGACACGGCATTATCGCCGGGCGCTGAGGCACCCACACGCCTGACTCCGACCACGGCTTCCCCGGCCTCAGGCACCCTCAGACACCCTCAGACACCCGCTCTGCCCCGCGGCGGAGCTGCTGCCACGCTCCCGCCTGCCTGGGATCAGTTCCGGGGCAGCGCCGCGTTCCTGCCCGGTTCGCTGCAGGCTGACTCCCGGATGGGTCGTGGCAGAACGCAGATCGGCTCCCCGGCCCTGCCCGTTCAGCACGAACCAGGAGCGGGATTAACTCCGGCACGGCCGCCAGACCCGCAGGCCGCGGTACTTAATGCACCTTCACCCTGGCGCTGTACATTGGGGACCGCAGGAGCGCCCCACTCTGTGTCCCCACAACCTCCCCGGCACCTGCGAGCGTCCTGGAAATACCTCGAAGTCCCGCTGCCGGAACGCCCAGTCCGCCCGGAACTTGCTGCTCGTGATCCCGCCGGCGCCTTCCCCCGCGTCAGCCGCGCTGTGGAACCACTGCGGGCACACAGAGCACACAGAGCACACACAGAGCCGTCACGGGCCGCGCTGTGGAACCACTGCGGGCACACAGAGCACACACAGACCATGGCGGGCCACGGAACCACTGCGGGCACACACAGAGCCGGCACACACAGAGCCGTCACGGGCCGCGGAAGCGCTCCGGGCACACAGAGCACACACACAGAGCAGTCATGGCCCGCCCTCCCGCCGCCCCGACTCCTCACGCGGGGCTCGCAGTGCCTGGCTCCGCACGGAGCCCCGTCCCCGCCGCCCTCCCGCCGCTCCCGGCTCGGCGCGAACAGGGAGTCCTCGAACTCCGGGCCCAGCTCCGGCTCCATCGCCGCCGCCGGCCCCGCTCCGCGCAGGGGGAGGAGCTCGGTCACCGCTCGGCGAAAGGGAAGGAAGTGCTTCCAGTAACGAGCTGGATTACAGTCCCGCGCCTTGGTAAATTAACTGCGTGGTTGTGGAGGTGCTCTCTTAGCATCTCGTCCTGGTGGCCGTGCATAGGGTGAGTGGGAATGTGTTTTGGTAACTTTTCCATTTAGTTTCACTTCTGTCTCGAAGCAGAAGATGTGAACCTGCTCTAGGTGACCCTGCCTTGGCAGGGGGTGAGCCGGCACACACAGAGCCGTCACGGGCCGCGGAAGCGCTCCGGGCACACAGAGCACACACACAGAGCAGTCATGGCCCGCCCTCCCGCCGCCCCGACTCCTCACGCGGGGCTCGCAGTGCCTGGCTCCGCACGGAGCCCCGTCCCCGCCGCCCTCCCGCCGCTCCCGGCTCGGCGCGAACAGGGAGTCCTCGAACTCCGGGCCCAGCTCCGGCTCCATCGCCGCCGCCGGCCCCGCTCCGCGCAGGGGGAGGAGCTCGGTCACCGCTCGGCGAAAGGGAAGGAAGTGCTTCCAGTAACGAGCTGGATTACAGTCCCGCGCCTTGGTAAATTAACTGCGTGGTTGTGGAGGTGCTCTCTTAGCATCTCGTCCTGGTGGCCGTGCATAGGGTGAGTGGGAATGTGTTTTGGTAACTTTTCCATTTAGTTTCACTTCTGTCTCGAAGCAGAAGATGTGAACCTGCTCTAGGTGACCCTGCCTTGGCAGGGCGTTGGACTGGATGACCTCCAGAGGTCTCTTCCAACCTTAAAAATTGTGTGATTCTGTGAAATTTCAGGCTTTCCACGACAGGCTTTCCCAGAAGACCTTACACTGTGCTATGGAAATCGGGGACACAGCAAGGCGAACCCTGATCCCAGACCTCCTTCGGGATGCCGAGACTCAGGCACCGGCTGCTCTCTGAGAGCTGTACATGCCCCGGCTGCCTGCCCTGCTGTGGTGCTGCTGTGCACAGTGCGCTGTGTTCTGGGGGGCTGCTGTGCTGGGCTGTTTCCTCTCTCCAGTCCGTCCATGCAGGAAGGTCCATTTTGTCCCATCTAATCACCACTCAGGTTTGGAGAAGGTGAGCTGAAAAGTACTTCCTTAGCCTGCAAAATGTGCCAGTGAATTTGTCTATACCAAAACACCTTTTGAGGTCAAAGCAGTGCTTATATAGATGATTTTAAAGGTTTCCTACTAGAATGCATGTAAAACGTGTTTTGCTTTTGTTAGGGTTTTTTTCTTTTTATGTTCTTAAAATACTCTACCATACCAGCAGAGCTGTGACTGGATGTAGAATGACCTGGCATAAATGTCAGGGTAGAAACTCAACTTTGGTAGTTGGATTTGATCAGAAAAATAAAAGCAGATTAATGTTTATTTTGCTTGTAAACTTGCTGTTTGGCAAACAAGCCCTCCAGCACAGAGAAAACTGTTCAGCAATTAAGTCTTGAGAGAATCAGGAGTTTACTTGACATGCTTCAGTCTTTCTGTTAAAAGTATCAAGGTAGGTGAGGACAGTCACTTGTATATGCACATCAAAACCATCTGGCTTCCTCCTGCCTGCAGAGAGGCAGGCAAAGCACGTGGGGGTCAGACTGGGGAGGTTGGCACAAGTGTCTGAACAGTTTCAGCACCTGTAGTGCTCCTCAAATACACTGGACACACATGTTCCCTTTCCCCCTGCTCCAGGACTGCAGGTCGTGCTGCAACACACCGGTCTGATGAACAAGGCACAAAAATCCAGAAAGACAAATAAGCACAAATCAAAAAGAAGAAAATCCAAAAAAAAAAGAACATGAGTAATCAAAGTGAAATGGCCACAGCTCAAAGGAAAATACAAAAAGCAAGGCATTCCCAGGGGCAAATCCCACAGCAGCTGCTTGGCTGCCAGCTTGGATTGCAGAGTCCTCCAGGGCTGGGGGTTTTGACCATCGTTTCTTCTGAGGATACCAACGTGGTCTACAAAAGGCTCTGTGTTGCAATGCAGAGAATGCCTTTGTCTGGTAAATCAGTGATAGGAGAGCCACGATTCCCAGTGCCACACAGGGGGCCTAGCAGCTGACTTGTGGTTTCAGTAAGTCATGGGCAAAGAATTGCCTCTCTTCTTCATTTCTTCTTTCCCTGGCTCTTCCTTGCCCCTGCCTCCCCTCAAGACATTTAAAAAGCTCCTAATATATTAGTTACAGAAATGAAAAAATGCAACTTTAAGACATCCCTCTGCCTTGTCAGCACCAGAGGTTTGCTCAATTTCTCCCCCACGTTCCAAGCCATCCATGTAGCTGCCAGAAGACAAATTCTCACCATACTTAAGTAAAGCTGTTTGCCCGAGTTTGCATGGCATGATTTGCCTTGATGCTGTTAGCCCTGGCTTCACAGAGGAGAAAACATCATCCCTGGATGCTGTTTGAGGGAGCTCAGATATATGAGCCCTACAAGAGCCTGTGCTGCTGCAGTTGCTCTGTGTAGGCAGCTTCAGGATAAAAAGAAGCTATAGATGAATCTCTCCCTGAAGGCAGCCAAGGTCTCACTCCACTGCAGGCCACCAGCTCGGCACATGAACACTGCATCAATGAAAGTGGGCTCTAGTAAGCTGTGGCCTCCAGGCGAGTTCTGTGCATCAGCAAAGCCATTGTGGCTGCTCACACAGCGTGCCAGTGCTGAGGGGCTGTGACCCAGCTTCACCCTGGGTGAGTGGGGGCACACTGGGCAGGCCAGTGTGCTTCATCTGCAGTCAGGGTGCCCAGAGACAGCCCAGGCTGTGAACACAACTCCAGCAACAGGCAGGGTTTTTCCATGCTGTCTATTGCCTGGATCTTCTGGCCAGGAAAAGCGAAGCAAGGAAGACAGAGTTTGTCTAATGCCCTTGTTCTCCACATTTCCTTGTCTACTCTGAGGCAAAATTAATTCAGAAGAATCCTCCTCCAGTGTTTCTGTAATTACTGATGTTGTTATTTGTATTGTGATAGTCTCCATGGGTCCTAGCCATGTGGGTCTTACGCCAGCACAGACACACCACAAAGGCTTCAGAGACCATCGAGCACACACAGCAGAAACAAGAAACCTCAGTCAGCAACTAGGACCCCATCTGGTAGGCACTACCCACACACACTGACCAGGAATAATGCAGCTCACATGGCCTTTTAAAATATACTGGAAAGAAGCTGCCTTTAGAAAAAAGCAGAAGAGAGAGTAGTTTTCTCCTCAAAGCAAAAGAGCTGCCTGTAATGAAGAGGCCAAGACCCACAGGCAGCATTCCTCAAAGGATGGGGTAGCTCCTGAATTAAGTGGATTCTTCCAGACATTGTGAAATATTCACACCTTGAGGGAAGATTACTTTTCTTATTGGATAGTCCTAATATATGCTCTTCTCTAAACACACTCATGAAAGGAGAAGAGCAGCTCTTTATTTGCTGACATTTGTCTCACTGTATCCTTTTCTCTTACCTTTTATTTAGATTAAAAGATCTTTACAGCAGAAGCTATCTTTCATCTTCTTTGCATGATGTCACACATAAGGGGATACTGTCCATGACTACTGGGAGGGTAATACAAATAACATTTCATGGTTTGGGGCAGACAGAGGTTATCACTACTACGAACTGCAAACAAAAAAAGCTCTGATGAGCTCAGATGAACTCTAGCATAACTTACAATGATGACAGCTAGTTCTAGTTCTACTTCAACACAACAAAAATTGAGTGGGGAGGTGAGCGGTGCATTGTGGAAATCAAAGAGAGTGAACTGTTCATTGTCAATAGAAGTCAAAAGCTTCTTAGGCGTTCTTAGGACAGACAGGAGAAGATGCATCCCCCAAAAGAGGGTTCATTTGCCTGCTCTACCTTAAGACAGTGCAACCTTTCAAGCCCCTGGCAAGACATATTAACTAGGCCATAATCCCTCTCCCTCAGTTCTCACAAAACCCAATAAAGTTGTTATTGCCAAAAGAGTGCACTGCACACAGATGTGTTCAGCTATTAATGGGTTTTGCAATTATTTTCTGTCTAGCAGGATAAATGATGAGCAGAATGAGTACGCCCTTGGGTTTGACCAGAAGGCTGTTGAAAAGTAAAGAGCCAAAAAGCTTTCTGGAAAGACAGAAGGAAGAAAGTGATCAAGTGCTAGAAAGAATCCTAAAGCAGTGAACTTCCCAGGCAAGCTCACACATTTCCAGTAGTGATGTGATCTTGTGTCTGAACTGCTCCACTCAGCCATGCAGTACAAGCACTGAGGTTGTACCTTGATGGTCTGTGAATACAAAAGTCATGGCAAAGGGTGGTATTGCCAGTCTACTGCTGTAACTGGAAAAACAGCCAGCAGAGTCCCAGGCTGGGCATGGTGAGGTTCATGTGCCTCCTTCTACACCCTTTTTTCAGTTTTATCAGTTTTTCTGAGAACTCATTAACTTGCCCTGGCCACTGTTATGCTTGTTGCTTAATTGCTACTTATGATGAAACCAGGCCACAGAGACCACAGTGGATTTGTTACTTCTCTAGGTTAAAACTTTCCTACTGCAGTTTTCAGGACTGGGCAGGACCAAGCAACACTGGTGGCAACTCCTCTAGGACACCATTTAAGACCTTTTTTGTAACAACACTAAATAAACTGAGCTGACTTACTACAATATTGCTGTCTAGCAAGAACAAAGAGAAACAAATCAAAAGAATTAGAAAAAAAATAAGGTATACTGAAGAAATACACCCAGGGCTTCAGGCCTGCCCTTAAGTGGCCCTCACAACTCACAAGTTTTTTCAGGCCTTGCTCTGTTTTTCCATATGGGAAACAACCAAACTGTTGGTTCTGCAGTGCCTCATTTCCCATACAGCTTTTGCACTGCTGGAGAGGACTAGTGGAAACTGCTATTAAATTTAGCTTCTATGTCTTCTTATTGCCTTATACAAGTAGCAGTGCCTGAAGAAAGTGAGTCACAGCAGAGGGAAAGCACTGCTCAATGAACACATGCAAACAAAATGCAGAAATCCAAGATGGACTTTGCCCACAGTTGTTTCCCTCCCCCAAAAAATTGCATGTGAAATGCATTTAGAGCAAAGAAAACTTAAAACATACATCAATGATGCAGATTTTCACTTTGTGGTATCTCCAGGAAAAATGATGAACCCCTTCCATAACAGCACATCTGTGGGGCTCCAGTTCTGCATGCTGTGGGTTCCCAGAAATTGCACAGAAATTCTTGCAGCTGGACTTCATCTGGAGGCTCTGGCCAGCTGCTGGAAACTCCAGAACTGAGGGCAGTTACAATTGCAATACTATTTGTACCATCTCTGGTTCAGAACATGTCATTATTACAGGCTATTCTGTGCGCTCTCTTCCTTGTTAGTCCCTTAGGACAGGCTTTGCTGAAGTTATGACTTTTCCTCTTTGGCTCTCATTTAGGAAAACTGAAGATCACTAAGCGGAGAATTACTGCCAACACTGACCTTTATTTTCACCCAAAGAGACAAATCAACTAGGTGTGACACACATTTTCATTCCCTTTTTCCATCTTTTCTTTCTTCTACTAAATACTTTAAGGTAATGAAGATCAGCTCAGCACTGAACCTGTAAAGAAACACACAGGGGGGAGAAATTAGTCACAATGCTAATAGTTCCAATAATAGCAGTAGAAACATATATTCAAATATTTCATTTTAGAGTATTTGAAGTGCAACAAGTCATTTAACCACCAAAAATGTTAGAAACCACCATCTATCTGAGACTAGGGACCTCCACCAGCAGTATTTCAAAGCGACACTAAGCCCACAGGGAACAATTTATAGAGGGGACTTTCTGGCATACAAAAGAAAAAAGGCAGTACACAAAGTGGCTTGGTATTTTAAATTTGCAAAAGTAGTAGTTGATAGTATGTTGTGAAAACAAATGTAAGCTGAAAGATGCTGGGAAGGGGCTTGGAAAGGGGAGACAACTCACAAGGCCAGCTGATCTCTTGTGAAAGTATCTACTGAATTGCAGCATTTTGGAATTGCTGATAACACTGTAAACAAAAAAGATACCTTTAGACAAAGGTTACTGCATGCTTAATCTGGTGCTTCTTCTAACTCCCTCTTTAGCTGATGGATTCTTGAAAAAGCATTATGTTTACCCAACCAAGTAAAACTATTTGGCCAAACACCAAGCTCTGGTGACAACTCATGCTCATCTCTGGTCCTGTGCTTTTCAGCTGGAGATGTCATTTTTCAGACTAACATTAACTACAGCACAGGAACAACTTTCTTGCTTTAAACTTTTTTTTTTTTTTTTTTTTTTTTTTTCCTGGGGGTACATGTGTAAGTACAATGCCAGGTCCTGCAGGAAAATCCCAGGCTCGAGTTCCTCCAGTTGCAGCTCAACAGCTGGAATAGACGGGTGTCACACCAGACAGTGGCACTGCCTCCGGCAGGGAGCGGCTGGGAGTGACGGCACCTCGGGCTCCCGGGAGAAGGACAGAGCTCAACAGCAGCTCTTTCCTCAGACCCTTCTTGTCTCAGGAAAAGACACATGTTACAGCAGCCTGTCCAACTGACAGGGACTTCAGTAAGGAGACGGTTCCTACTCACCCCTACTCTTCTCACCCTGAATATTTAAATGCCATAATAAAAAGCATCTGCCCGAATGAGAAAAATCGCGTGAACGTCCCTGAGCAGCTGACACGGCAGAACAGCTCAGCAACGAGCAGCTGTACTGACTCACACGTGAGGCTGACCTCACACTGGCTGGTCAGCCAAGGCAGTTCTCCAAATGCAGTGCATCTGAGGAATTGATGAAATTCCGTTTTGTGTAACAGGGAAAATGGTATTTCAGGTCTGGTTTGTGACATTTTCATACAGACACGACTCTTGGTTTCCACACCACCTCTTAGACCACAAACACTCAGTAAGGAGACATTTATTCCATTATTTCTGTTTTCAAATTTTTGGTACAAAGTTTATTTTCAGAAGTTCTCACATGATCCTTTCTTCTACCAGCGTTTTTAGGATTTTTCTATCTCTGATTTATTTTCTTTATCTGTTGAAGCAAAAGCAGTAATTGCTACAGAAAGAAATAATGGCAATATTACAAATATTTTACAGCAGCATCCATTCGTTTCTTTGCCTCAAAAAAATAACAAAAATAAATCCAAAGACAAGATCCATACAGCCACAAAGGCTTAGGTTTGTAATATCCAGAAGTATGCTGCGTTCCCATATACGAGTTGTACAAGTCCAGCACAACTTTCCAAGTTTGTGCAGAGCCTGATAAATAAGACACAGAAATATCAGTTACATTATACTGTTTCTAAGAACTTTTACTCTGTAAAATGTTTGGTCACTCAAAGCTATAAGCTTAATCACATATCAAAGAACACAGGCAATAAAGCCCATCTTACTAAAACATATAGTATTAGGCCAAACAAAATATAAGAGGACAAAATCTAGTGGTCACTGAAGCCTCTTCAAAAAAGGTTTAAAACAGAATGTTTCCATCATGTATCAGAATAAAAACGTACTGTATTAAAATTTGATATTTTTTTTTACAAGCTGTCTTTTAATCAGTCTTCTATTTACAGTGCAGAACTGCCAACTGCAGTAGTTTAACTTTGGCACAACACTAAGTTCCAATCCTTTTGAGTATTCAAGTCCTGTGTGTGTCCAAAAATTTTCTTGGTTTCACGAAAGATTAGGCCCATTCACAGTTAACCAGTTATCTTGAAATTTTTCAAGAATTGCTTCCCCTTCACCACACTGGGCAGCTACAAAGGAAAGACATTGTAAGCTATTGCATCATTCAAAAGAAACTCTTCATTCTAAACAGTGACAGTATTGTTGCTTCCTTTAATATCACGTACACCAGACAGATCACACAGACAGCTACATACTGGACACCTTTCTAAAAACCTTGCTGGTCGTTAGTGAATCATCTTCCTCATACTTCAAATACATAACAATGCATTAACTTAATTTCATTTCACATGTCAAACAGGACATTTAAATATATTGCAATATATTATAGAAAATTGCAAAGCGCCATCATTTCTGTAAACGAGACTGACACCTGTTAACTCTCCTGTGCACATGAAGAGCAGTACCTAGTGCCACATTTTCTATACAATATAAAGCCTTCCCAGGTAGGGCAACTCATTTTAGTGCATTTCTGTACAGACTGTAAGCATACATGCAGATAGCCAACTATTCAGGGTTGGAAATACTTTTGTAAGCTGAAACTGGAAGATGGGGGGGAAGATTCTGAAATCACAGCAGAGCTCTTGTGGTTGATCATTTCATAGCACAGATGAGGACTTGACTCTTCTGTCATTCTAGCAGATTCTTTATGGACAGTTTCATGACAGGTATCTAGTATTGAATAAGCATAAGGAAATACTTTCATCAACTGGGACACAAATACTATGTGTCCTAACACATTCTAGGTTATGCACAGTCCAATGTTCACACAGTAACTTTAAAATACTTGAGAAAACCCAAAGCATTTTTATGCCACAGTATTATAACCAAGGATCAGTTACTTTATCCACCACTGTAGTGCTACCTGCTCTAAATAAAAGAAGAAAAAAAAAAAAAGGCCTCATTTACCAACAAGCATCAAGTTGGAAGCAGAGGTCAGTACCACTGCTAAGCACAACACAAAGATCAGTGCTACAATCCAGCCAGAAGATCTCTCTCTGTAATGTCAAATGTCTGCAGTGTCAGCAGCCGCCTGCAAGTCAGGGTAGATCAGTGGAGCTGGGGTGCAGTTCCTGTGAGCGACTCCAGGCATGCAGGACGAGCACGTTTGCATTCCTTGCTGTGCTGACTACCTACAGTGTCTTGCCCCAGTGCAGACATCAACATGCATCAGACAAATCCCACCTTAATTAATGGAAAGTGCTACAGAATGCTCAGTTATCCCTCTACATTTTATAATGTTCTGTGAGTTGGTTTTGCAATGACTGTTCACTGAAAAGGTGCAGATGCTCTTCACCACAGAAAGAGAAAAATCCCCAAGAACTCCATTAAACTTGGAAATACTGGCTATAACCCACCTGTGCTTCAAAATATCCCTTTTTAGAAGTGGGGAAAAAATGCAGAAATTCAAGTTATTGTGTGTTAGTAGCCATTAAGGGGATTTTTCACTTTCTGTTGAAATTCTTATTTCAAAGTATTTTCCTTCAGAATCAGCAAACCTCAAGTAACTTGACCTGATAAGTTTGTGTCATGCTTCTTGGTAAATCTACTTATCCTAGGATATCACAAACTGGATGGAGAATACTGACATAACCTAGCACTGTTCAGTGTAAGGGACTGAATCCTCCACTAGCCCTTTCCATCTTTAATTTACACCATCATTCCAGGTATTATAAACAATTCTTAAAAGTTCTACTGTTCTCTGGTCACTGATACTATCTCTCTATTACTACTGAATGCAAGCAAAATTGTTTTCAAAGCAAAAAATAAATTAAAGAAAATAGCTATATTTAATTGCACTCTACTTTTGTGCCTTCAGGTTAGGGCAGGGATATTTAACACTCCAGAAGCTTAAAGATTATCTTCTCTCCTTGGGAGATATGAATATAGACAGGTATTGGACTCAGGTGGAGGACGCAAATCGGTACTACCATATTTACAGAAGCAAATACTGACATCCAGCCTGAATACACAGTACTCCACTAAGTGCAAAAGGGAAAACACTCCCCACCTTAAACCACAGCCTGGTTACTCAGCAGCCAGAGATCAGCTGTCAGAGTTACTGCTGTGCTTTCATTTCAGAGAAAAACGGAGGAGGAGAATGTCTGCATCTTTGGGCTTTCTGGCCTATGGGGACCATGTACAGCCGTGACTCACTTTGTACGGGATCCAGAAATCCTTTCTTTGCTCTGTAGAGGGGAAGGGAGTGAATTTGCCTGCCTCAAGCATTTCTTGGAGAGAAAAAGAAAATCTGCTTTTGTTCAAGGTGAGCAAATAATCCATTAGAAAATTATTTCATGTCATGTGTGGACAATGCATGAGTTTTCCAATAATCAAAGCTACAGTCAGTAACTCTGAATTATGAATTACAGTTCATAATGTAATGTTTTCAACATGGTAACAGACAAGGTTAAAAAGGGCATGGCCTCACTTACTACAGTGTATTAGAGATAATACATTAAATTCTAATAATCAGGTAGTAGGTATCTTTCCTCTTCTTTGCTTTCAGACAAAGAGATTTCTGTGTGCTAAAAAGGAGTGACTGTAATAATTTACTCCTTCTGTCAGAACAGAAGGAGTTAAACTCATTTTGCTATCAACTTCTAGAAGAGTAAATTCTGCAGGGCAAGCAAAAGTCAGAGCCTTCAAACTTCTGTGTTTTCCCTTCTGCTTTCCCTTCACTTCTTACAAGCCAGCACTGTTAGTTCATTCAAACCTCCAGGGGAAAATAGGCCTGACTTTCTTTTTTCCAACACTAACTTTGGGGTCACTGAGAGGTGATACTGGGAAGACAGCACTGTTTAAGATGGAACTGTGCTCTCTCACTGCACTCAGAAGCGAGGGCGAAACGTGCTGTGAAGCAGGACAATACTGTGATGGTGGATGTTGTCCCTGGTTGTAACATTGTTTCCTGTCTTTTAGCTCTTTTCCCTGTCAGGATTATCTGCATTTTCTATTTAGCTGAATTCCAGAGACAGCACAACTGGCATCATGAGAGCAGGTAGTCCTGGCAGAAACAGTAGATGAAGAGAAATGCACTAGCTTAGCTCTAAAGGAACTGATATTCACAACTGAATTCTGATGTAGTGGTCCCAACGAAGACTGAGAAACCAGCCACCCAGAGGTAAGATCTAAGCATGATCAGTTTCTTTGTCTCAGTGTCAGTGACAATCACTGAAGCCTGGCCCATAATGAGCTCAAACCTAAGCGGTGAAGCTCCACAGAAATGCAGAAAACATACCACAGGTTCATCTAGACACAGTCCTTCCCATGCAGGAAAATCAACAGTCACGTGGACATTCACTCCTGGGCAGATGTATTTTCTTTCCCCTTCCTTTCCCACTGCCAGCATAACTCAGTCCAAATGGCTTCCAAAACACCTTGGAAGTGTGCATAAGTTGTAAGAGGGACCCAGGCTTGCAGGGGTGCACTGCTGATAAGCACAGAGGTGCTTGGAATCATAATAAATTAAGACACTTGCTGATGTGCTTAAGTTCAGGGAGTTTCCTGGATGTGACTGGTAGAATGAGAAGGTGCCACATCCTTTCACTCACCAGGCCATCTCTGTTTTTCTCAGTGACTGTGCAGTGCCCACAGCAGCCTAAGGGTGGCTGAGATGAATCTGGGCTAAACCAGTGTTACCAGCAGCTTTGAGTTCCCACCAGCCATGACCACAAATCAGAGGTACAACTGACCATAGCACTTTCCAATGCTTCCCCTGTCAGTCCTGACACAGGAAGCCTCTGGAGGGAATTTGCCTCTCTGCCAGTACACAGTGCAAATGTACATATGCTGTAAACATGAAACACACTGGTAATTAATGGACTCTTCAAACAGAAGTAACTGTCAGACTATGGGCAATAATGAATGCATACAACTTCTGTCTTCAGGCTGAACCTACCCAGATTTTCCTCATCCTTGGCACAACTGAAGGGCTTAAAATGTGCACGTAGCCCAACATGCTATGTGTAGACTCCGCATCTCTCATTAGCTGATCTCTCATTAGCACATGGTTTAGTTTAAATTTTATATCCTGCAAAGAGATAATTTTCTAATTGGGCCGTAAATACTGGTATAACCAGTGGAATACATGTAACTCTAATATTTACAACAACCGAAAATCTGGCCCAGTATGCATCAGTCACTGTCTCTGACCATTCTACTGAAAGAAGACCTCCAATCCAACTATATTTAGTCTGATAAACAATGTATTTCCTCTTCCTGTGTTTTTCAGACAAGATGTGCTAAGGCCTACCTTTGTAGCTGAGTGTTATTTAATAGAACACTGCCAAAGTGGAAAATATCCCAGTTCAATCACATAATTAACTTCGATCTTTGTATTTTCCCCCATTTTTTAAAGACAGAATTCCTAGCTAACCTAAATAAGGCTCTGTTAACAAAAATGGAGATATTTATTTGGACAAGCTGCTTGGTTGTTTTGGGTTTTTTTTAAAGAAAATTAATTCTGGGTCAACTTCAAGGATTAAGGCAACTCCAGATTTTGCTTGCTAGAGGCATATTCCCAAGGATTTGGTTTAATATTTTTGGAAACTTAAAAATAGCATCTTTTCCTTCTAGCTTTGTTCTTTCCTACTCAGCAAGCACAGATTTTTGACCCTGTATTCCCAACAGAGCTTGAAGCTAGCATGAGTCTTTCTTGTACCTGCTGGCATCTGCAACAGCACACTATTACCACCATCCACACTGTTACCACACAAATGAGAATCCCTCCCAACCCCATGCTGAAAAGGCCAGATCTTGATCTCTTTGTACCACCTCACATGCAGAGTCATAAACACTCCTGTGAAATATGCTGACAACATGGGGTTGCTTCTGCCCCACTCCAAAGTTAAAATGAGGGATTCTTGGCTATTCCTCCCTAGTAATGCTGGCCACTTTATGTCTCACCAACTTGACACTTGGAAGCCAGGGAATAGTTTCATCATCAAATTCATGACATACACCATAAGCTATTGCCTTTTTCTCCCCAATAATCTTAAAACAGTCAGAAGAGGTAACCCAGTAAATGGCTTTCCTATGAAACATCCTCCTGGAGCCCAGAGAGCTTATTCAATCTGTGAGTAGAAGGGCAGCTACAAGAGTCCAGAGAGGAAGGTCTGGGAAGTTAACAATATTTTTTGTCAGACATTACTCCCTTTCTTACTTTAGCCTGGGCTTCACCCACAATCAGATATGAAACCCAGATCCAGCATGGACTCCTCTGCTTCACAAAATCATGACTAAAAGGACTTCCTTGGTTTTCTTGAGTTATCACAGTCCAGAAGAAAGACTAATTCTAAAATCCTAGCATAGGTTCTTGGAGATGGGGAGACATTAGGTCTCATTTTCTCTGCACTAATCTGTCCTCATTAGTCATCAGATGCAGAAGCCTACAGAGAAGATGCTGTCAGATGTGCAAAAGGAGATTGCTAGTATCCATTAGCGCCAATGTAAAAGCAGACAGTGCTGGTGACAGCAGCACCAATTCATCGCCATCTTTTGACATCTAAATATAAAGTAACTTATCCCTAAAAATGCAGTCTGGCAGTAGCAAAAATACAAACTACTCTTCCTCAGAGTAACAGTTCTCTAGAATGCCAAACAACTGCCTCAACTAAATTTGTGGGAATTTGGCCCATTGCTTTAAGTTGCTAATTCAAACTGCATTATAACTTCACAGTATTGAGACCAAATAGCTTTTTTTTTTTTTTTTTCTATTTTATATACACTTATTTAAGATGGGAATGTTTTATATCAGATTAAACTACTTCTGGAGTCCAGTTCAGGTAGATCAAACCACCTCCAGAAATAGGTGTGTTCACCCAGCAGTCCTGTGAGCAATCAGCACAGTGCTGAGTTCAATCAGGATGTTTTACAGTTAAACCTGCACACAAATCACTCAACTGGGCTATCACTGAAGAACAATTCAACACTCACGTGTTTGTAATTACTAAGCATCTAAAAGTCATATAACTTCATTTTGTTTGTGAATTATACACCATGTCATTGCCGCAATTTACTTAAAAACCTTTCTTACTAGTACCAAAAGATGTTTTTCATCTCTGTATCTGTGTATTCTTACAAACCCCTAGGCAACTCTGAACAACTTTTAGGCAGTTTTTGTCTTCTGTTAACGTTAAAACTCAGTGTCAGATTTCAAGAAATTTCTCTCTTTTTTTTTTAAATATAGATACTTCTTTTACCATTTACAACAAAGGAAAGAATGCACAAGGTAGAAGTGAGTGTTACTATTAACTGCATCAAGTCTGTCAGGCATTTAAATTAGATTGATGTGGGATACACTGACTGTAACAAAAAGCATCTTCTAGCATCAGACTCATTCAGTTAGCTCATAATTATCAACAAGGAACACTTCAGTCCAAGTTCTGTAAACCCAAAACACTCTGAAGATATGCAAAAGGTGCAGATATCACCTTATTTTCTGAAACCAATCAATCCTCACCCCTAGGTTCATTGGTTCCTTTTGTCACACTTTTCCCCTTCTCTTTTGTTTTCAATGCTTTCCTTAAGAAATAAACTCAAGCCTTGAAACCTTTCAGATGAAGTGATGTTTGCAAAAAGACATCTAATGTTTTTGTTTTCCTCCTTCACAAGCAGGCAATGTTCACTTACAGCAACAACATAAAAAGTGTCTGTGGTTTTTTTGGAATTAAACAACATAAGGCAATTAAATACTGAGAAGCAGTCACGTGTATGATGAACATGAACGTTCCCATCGTAGTGTGGAAAAGGAGGAGCTGAACTTGATCTGATTTGTAACCCCCTGTCCCAGGCCAGGCCTGAGGATGTTCATCTCTTGTAGCAACAAAGCAAACAGTTCTTGCCTGCACAGGTAGCATCTTGCCCATGTACTCTTAGGTGGAAGGAAGATGCTGAGCAGCTGCTTGCTAAACTGAAGGCCATGAAAAATCATTTGGCTCTTCACCATAACATCAAACCTAATTCATAGGTTTTTGGCCCCCAAATTCCAAATTGTACATCAGTCTGTTTTTGAAAGTTTACGTTTAACATGTCTGGGGGGTTCCCAAGTATCACTATCATCTGTTTCTTCCTCATCCTCCTGATCATCCAGCATTTCATCTTCTTCCTCATTCTCATCAAACAGCTCTATTCCAAGTTCTAATCTTCTCTGCCTTTCTGCAAACCATTCTCTGACTTGCTCATATCCCATGTGAGATTTGGCTACCAGTTCATCAAGGTCTTGCTCATTAAGGAATTTGTGCTTCATATAATAGTCCTTCAGGATTGCTGTTCCAGTTTTAAATTTTATGACAGATACACCTCTGTCCCAGCAATTTAACCTCTTGCTTCCCCGAGGCCTCCCCCGAGGCCTCCCTCTCCCCCTCCCTTTTGGTCTTCCTCTCCCTCTCTTCCTTGCAAAGCCTTGGCCATTCAGACTGTTTGCACTGGCACTCTGGTAATAGTAGTACCATTTCAATCCACCATTTTTCCAGGCATAGCGAGTATCTCCAAACCAGCTCACAATTTCTGATCTTGGAAGCCCAGTTTCTTCTGCCAGCTTGTTGTATTCTTGTGGAGATGGCCACTGAGTACGGACAAAGGAACTTTTGAGCATGTGCAACTGCTCTGGTGACTTTTTGCCGATTTTGCTTGAAGTAGAACACCCTGATTTTGTTCCTGCTGCTCCATCTCCCACAGATGTTTCTCCAGACTCCTCTTTTGAGCTGCCAGCATTGCTTTCATTCATGTCAGCTCCCTCTTCCTTCAAGACATTTGATTTCCTTTTTTCTGTAAACCAGGCATCAATCTCTCTCCTGGTCAGTTTTGTTTGGGCTCTTAATCTATTCATCTCTTCTTCAGTAAGGACAGGGTTATTAAGAAAACTTGCTTGGAGGACTTGCAGCTGTTCAGAAGTCTTCTCTTTGAATTTCTGTGGAGTAAAATCAGGAAAAGTACCCCAAGATGGCTTGCTCTGTGGAGTGACTCCTGTTGGAGATTCATTCATTTCATCACTTGAATCAATAACAATGGTGGCACATGAATCACTGTTGAGATGAATCCCATGATTATTCTTTGAGTTTCTCTGATTGTAGCGTGTATCACTGAACCACTTTTTGATCTCTCCTTTAGTGAGGCCTGTTATTTTCATAAGTCTAACAATTTCTGAGTCTTGAGGAAACTGGTTTTTAAGGTAGCTGACTTTCAATTCTGCCAGTTGTTCCTTAGTTTTTTTTGCTCGGATGCCAAAGGAGTCAGGATTCATCAGTGTGGATTCATTTTTGATAGGCTGAGGGGCTGGAATGGCAGCTGCTTGTTTGGTTTCTGCAACAGGCTGACCACTGTGAATCTGACTCTTCTGTAACTGTGTTTGGTTTGGGACCCCTGCTACAGTCAAAGCTATAGGAGCTGTTACTGGTAACGTATTTGTACCTGCAACTTGAGTGAGAACAAGTCCTGGCTGACCAACTATTTGGCATGTCTGCAAAATTGAAGGTAAACCATTGCTAGCGGCTGAAATGTGTGCTGGGATAACGGTAATTGTCTGTGGCACAGTATGCACTGTGCCATTAAATTGTTTCCTCCTTGCTTCCTCCACCTCCTCTGGCGTCCAACTCACCCCGTGTTTCAGACGCTGAGCAGAAAACCATATTTTGATCTGCTCTTCCGTGTACTTCGCTTGAGAGGAAAGAACAGTGATTTCTGACATGGTTGGATACGGGAATTTGTTGTAGGTGTTAAGCAAAAGAGGATTGTTATCCAAAGCAGTGTTATAGGCTGGAATGCTATTTACAGGTATTAGTACTTTGGGAATCAGGTTTGAGTTCTGTGGAGCTGTAACAGCTGTTATAACCTGTGCCACCCCAGGCTGAAGCACTGGTGCCGGGGTCACTACTGCCCCAGCCACATCTGCTGCACTGCACACAACTGAATGGTTTGGTTTGGATTCAGAAACTGCCGGTGGGGGGTTTTCTACTACTTCTTCAGAGTTTGGCTCATTTTCAGTTCCCTTTTCTTCACCAGGAATGTCATCAACAACATTGTGGAAAACAGCAATACGTTTAGCCTCAGGTTTGCTTTTCATCATTTTCATGATAGGAGTTTTGCTAATGGAGATCCCTGATGAGGGGACCTCAGAAGAGTCAGCCTGTCCAGCATTTTCTTCTCTAACAAAACTCCCATCAAAAGTGAGATCATTTACTGTCTGTTCAAAGATTGTCTGGTTATTACGTTTCACCATAGTCAACTTAAAATTCTCCTCTCCAGGGTGGTGCTTCAAATTATGTTCTGAGAGGGCATCGTATCTTTTGGTAAGGAAATTACATTCTAAACAAACATAGGATGAATTCAATACTACGTTGGGGTGTTCTGAATCCACGTGAAAAGTAAACATATTGAGATCTGGAGTCTGAAAAGTACAGTATTTACACTCATAACCACCTTCTACTTTATTTGTGTTTTTCTTATTGTCTGAATCCGCATACTCATGAACATCCTCATCACTTGTTACACCCTCTGCTGTAGGGTTATCTGCTGGTGTGAGCACAGGTGGTCCTTCCTCCAAGTCTGACACCATTTCCAGATCTGGATCCTGCTCATTGGCTAAGACCATGCAGGGTGTTGTTGATTTTCGTTTACTTGCCATGACTGTTACTGTGAAAATTATAACGACTGGTCAGATACAGACTTAGCTTCAAGCTCTTCTTGATTAATAATAGTAATAATAAAATAATGGCTTTCGGTACTTCAAGTCAGTTCTTGTAAAGTCTCAACATTTATCCCATTAGCAGCTTTTCTTTCGTAGTGCAATCAGATTAAAAATAGTTGAGGATGAGATGTTGAGACACACTGTTTTAAAGTCCACATCCACCACCTGTAGTAAAGAAGAGACAGTGGAATTAGTTTAATTTAAATAATAATTTCTATATTACAGTTTAAGGTAATTCAGTCCTTTGGGGTTTAGTGTGCCACTGCTCATCCCCTGAAACCAGCAGACCCACTCCAAGAAGAGATAACTGAAGCTATGATAAGAACGGCAAAATCCAGTCCACTTATTACAGGCTGAAATTTGTTTCAGTTCATGTTACAGTGACAGACCTAAACAACAGAATGGTGTAAAACAGGTAACTTCCTGACAGTTTCCCTTGCTTCAAAAGCTTTTTTCTTGGCACAGTGCTGAGGTCAGTCTTGCCCTTGGATTGCTTTTCCTGAGCTACGACAATGTCTCTCAACTGTTCTGTGAGCTCACGTCCTTCCTATCACTAACTTGAGCCCAGTACGGCATCTCCACCACTGGCTCTGTCATGTCTTTCATGTCACAGGCTGTGAAGTGTCTCAGAAAAGGCAGGTTTAGAGTATTTTTCTACTGCATTATATATGCAAGCACAATCATGTGCATGATATTTCTTCCATGTCTGAGAACAGGCAAAACAATGTCTTTTTAAGGCATTCTGACAGACAAAAGACAACTATCCTCTCTTCCTGGTTTTCCAAATGTCATTCTTCAACTGAAGATCAATCCCAAACCAATACAAATTGACTGCTAGCACTTGGCAATTAACTAGAATCTGTTTTCATGCCTCTATGCATTAACAGAGACATGACTGACTGTGTAAACTGTAACAGAGAGAGAAAAAGCATTAAAGACTGATATCCCAAACAGAAGCCTTAGCTTCACATTTTGTCTTTAGGCAAAAGACAGAAGTGTTCATCCCAGTTCACCCAGTACTGCTCGGTAAGCTCTGTTTTTGAAACTGTGTGTCACCTTACTGCTTCATAAATACCCTCCTTGAATGCTTTTAACAGCCACCCTCTGCACTACATCTGTGACTACATCCAAAGTGAAGAGCCTCACATGATATGCTTTTTATGCCAAGGATATGGTTACATGGCATTAAGGACACTGAAAATGCTCAATAAATCTTGGGTAATCATCATTCCAGGATGACAATTATTTAATGGTACTGGAGTAGAAAGATATCCTTCTTCCACAAGTTAATAGCGGCAGTCTGTAAAACTGAGCACAGAAGTGCAAAAGATATTTATTTTCATGTATGTACAAAGTACCTATTGCAGGCCACCTCATTTTTCTTTGCAGAGAGAGAACCATGAAGCAAAGCTAAACAGATCTATTTGTCTCAGTGTCTCGAGGGACAAGAGGTAGAGCATTATTAACTGTGCTGCTTCTCTGTGGGGCTGGAGGGCTCTTGACAAAAGAGAAGACAACTGCCAAGACAACACTGAGCAATGCTCTGGGGCAAGAGCTGGGTGGTATTACCTAATGTTTCTGTGATTTTGAGTAAAATTTCAGAAATGCCAGAAATGGCTATTTTAAAAAGCAACTTAACAGCTAGTTTTGCTGGCTGAAGTTGTGCTTTGTGAAGTGATTTTGGTACCCTGCAGTACCTCATCCCTAGCACAGCACACAGGATCTATACATAGGGCAGTCTGAGTGAGCTTAGGTGCCTGCCAAGGGTCCCATTCTGGGATGGCCTGGAGTGCAAGTAAAAGCAACATTTGATCTGACATGCAATATTGAAGCATGCTGAAGGAAAGGCTGGAAGTAAGATATATAAAATGGAAAACCTGTTCAACAAATCAATAAATGTTCTTCTCCAGTCTCCTCATGCACCCAGTAGTATTCACAGTGCTGTAAGCCAACAGGTCTACATGCAGTTGCAGCACCTGCAGGCTTTTAGCTAAATCTGTATCACATCTCTGCTGTGCTTCAGTTTTGCTTATGGTGCATAAGCAGATTATTGTGTCCCTCCTCTGTTTACCAAGATAGCAACACTTTTCTTTGATGCAAACAGGTCTCAGAAAAAGAAAGGTGCATCTCTGTTCTTCTGACTACTCTGTGTATTTTTTAAAGGATGTTGTGATGTCAAAACCCTGTTTAATTAAAGGCTATGAAGAACTATAACAGCATTCAGTAAAATCTCAAGAAAGTGAGACTGCAACCCTTCCCAGCCTTCTTTCCTCTACAGACTTTACAGAAACCTCCATTCCCTCCATCCTGGAGATAATGTGATTATTCCACCTGTAGCACCCTGCTTGACATGTTCTCTCAATTTAACAGGGGATTATGTAAATTCACAGTTGAGCAGTTTATCCAACCAATTATGCATCATCCTTGCAATCTTCATTTCCTCTAAAATACCTCTCCTGTTCTGCTTACAGGAATGTGTGGGACCTTGCCGCATAGCTTGACTTCAGTAAGATCTGCAACACTCTGCACCATGACTCCAAAAAAATGAAGTAACAGTGAGGTTTTGCCAAATCGACCCTTCTAGGAACCAACTGTAAGTAACCCTTGTTACAATTCTCGAGGTTCTTACAGACTGTTATTACTAAGTTCTTCCTGTATTGGGCTGGGGATGAAGATCCCTCTAACTGACCTGAGACTCACTATGTGTTCTCCTCTGCTCAAGCATTTCCCTTGGTTAAGATTGGGCAGTCTTGTGCCCAGTCTTGGGCTTGCCTGTCTCTAGGCCACTGAGACCTCCCTCATGTTCCATGGATTTCTGAAGGTCATCACGTCAGCAAATGCTTCTGCTTGTCCCTTACATACCTAAAGTCAAATATATGACAAAATATTCTGAAAGATTTTCTCTTTTTATCCCTCCTTGTGAATATTGACATCATATTGTGTAATTTGGTATGCAATTAAATAATCCAGGCGTTTATGTCAAAAGCAGCATTTTTTAATAAAGGAATCTGAAGAAAAACTTTATTTACACTGCATCCCTTCTGTAATTTCATCTCAGATTTTCACAGAATTGATATTCCTAACAAATCAGCCCACAAAACAAATGTTTTTCTAGGAACATAAACCAGCAAGTGCAGGCATACTTTTTGTAAGTCCAGAACCTGGTATTTTATCTTTCAGCAGGCAAATTTCTCAGGACACTCTCTTTAGAAACATGAACAGTTAGCGATCCCAATTAATTAAAAATTATATTAAGACCGATTCATTCCAGAGTGGAATTCAGCATTTAAAGTTGTCTTTAAATGCTTTAAAGACAACTTTAGCAGATGTGTATGAAGACTTACATAAATATTTTCTAAATGGAAGCAGAAACCTTCTGCCCATTTGATTACAGTTTGAGAAGGAAAAGACATAGAGTTGACCACAAAAGACAGACATGAAAGAACCTGCTTACAGAAAAAAATTTTTATTCACTTCCTCCTTCCCTCCCCCAAACAGGAGTACCTGATACAGGAAGAAAAATAAATGAGTTTACATAAAACATTCACAGTGTGTTCAGGGTGTATGCTTTCTGAAAAGGCATTGCTCCCTGTCTGCTGTATGACACTTCCATCCAGTGTGCAGGAAAACCATGCCCAAAAAAATCCAGCCCCATGTAATGCGATTTTAAGGATATGCAGAGAGCAGCTCTGAAGATGAAGCAACAGAACCTGCTTCTAACTTTTAAATCCACCTAGATTACAAATTGCCTACCACTTCACACAGAAAATGCTGCCTTCTTAGAACCCATGACAATATGCAGTTGTCGATCCTTTGTTTAGCCTCCTTCTACTACCCTTTATTCAGAGTAGATGTATCTATGTCAGAAACTATTCTGCAGAGCTCAGTGTCGGCTAATACACTCTGATCTCTGACTCTCAGTGAGAAGGGTGAAAGACTTTGTTGCAGTGCCATTTTCTTCACTTGTTCCTTATCTGCAAAGTTCAGAGAGCCTTACTGCTTATGACTCCAAAATAAAGCTGCATGTCTGTTAATCCTGAAATATTTACATTTGATTCCTCTTAAAATAAGGTCTGGTACTAATCCAACATGGGAGTGAAACTTATCAAACTGATTTCAGCACAAGTCCTCATGTATTACAAAGATAAGGCTCATTTAGGGTCCTTGCAGCATTAGACTGGTAATGAGGGAGGCAAGTACCAAAAGCTGCTGTAGTGCCCATGCAGAGCTCCAGGCTGTGCCAAAGCCAGACCCGTGATGGAGCACTGGGAAGCTGACACAAAGCCCAGCAGAGGCTGAAGGGAGCCTGCCACAGGACATGTGACTCGGCTTTCCCAGTTACTTCCTCTCAGTGCTGGTTTTAATGGGTAACAAACAGTTCCATGAAAGTAAATGTCAGAATTCCATGCCAGAAGTGACTGCTCAATGACTGACGTTATCTTTCTCTACTGCAGCACATTCTCCAGGTACCTCTGAGGAGAGCACAGGCACTTGTGCCCCTGCTTTTGATAGAGAAAGCCAGAACCAGGTTCTGTATCGGACCATATAAAGCTAATGACCAAACATCTCAAAAACCAGGGATACACTGACCAAGAGGTACCTTTAGCATGAATGGTGCATGTTTCTGCCCCTCAGTCACAGACAGGTATTTTCTGTGTGATACAGACACCCTGGCAACTACACCCACATAGACAGACCTTTATTTTATTGACTCTGAAGTGCCCAATTCCAACTGTGAGCACTCAGTACTTCTAATGTCAGACATCTCTGCATGACTATTATTGAAAGTATCAGACTTGTGTAAATGCTTATCATACCAAATAAAATGGCAGCAGAGTCAGGGATTTTTTTTTCTTTGCATAGTTACAGCTCTATTTTATTTTAATTGCTGTGCTGTTACGTACAAAACAGAAAGGACAAAGAAACAAATTACTGACATGAAGACAAATTTTAATGTGTTCTGCATTGAATAAACATTTAATTCAACCCTCCAAATGTTTCACGTTGGCTTTAAAAAAAGTAGAACAGTGAGAAATTATTAATTTTAAAAACTGTTTATCAAAAAAGTTTCTCCAAAACACCAACACAAAAGGTTTTATTATCATTGGATTTCCTTCTTTAAAATGAAACAATCTGGCACACATATGACTTCACAAAATGCTCCT